GTAGGTTCTCGCTCGTCTGTTTCCTCTTTCACCCATTCGTTGACTATTTCTCAATCGCAAGTGACTCTCAACCTCTGTTTGTTGTTGTTTCTCCTTCCTATGCTAGTCTACATACTGGCTAGTGGGAAGAAAGGCGTCTAAGGTCTAACGTCTTTCTCGAAAGAACTAGAACCACACACTTAGCGTGCGGGGATGTGACATCAGCGCCTCTCCACCAATGACGCTCCTATGCTAACTGCCCCCATCAACGGGGTCTAATTTAAGCACTAGACATCCAAGTCAAAGCATCGATGCTTTTACCGCTTGTTCTTCAGTGTTGCGTTACACAGCATTTTCACGCTTGTGAGTTACTCAATAAGCACCTTCACCCACCATCTGCAGTCTCAAAGCGTGCTATTGAAAGATTCACGTTTCGGTCATTAAAGGACGTGGGTGCGTTGACTAGGAGGCGGGACAACAGCGTCCGCGTCATTGGTGGAGAGGCGCTGATGTCACACCCCCGCACGCTAAGTGTGTGGTTCTAGCCCTTTCGAGAAAGACCTTAGACACGCCTTTCTTCCCACTAGCCGTAGATATGTAGACTGCCTTTGTACAGATAGTGCCTTGAATTGACCCTTTTTTTGAGAATTTTGGCAAATTATGCATTACATTTCGGAGCAGCTCCGCCGAGGGGGCATTTTTCACTTTTACTACTTCCCATCGACGTGTCGACCCATCTAGAGAGCTATTTCATGAGCTTACAAGAGTTGACAGGTTCTACCATGGTGGCTCGACGAGCTTGCTCCAGCTTCACAGGAGTTCACAGGTTTCACCAGAGTGAAATATGCAAACCGGAATATGTGGAGCAGCGAAAGCGCGCACGCCCCTCCCCCCCCCCCGTCGCCGATTCGCCCCCATTTTTGATATACAGCAGAATAAATTCTTCAATTGGTGCATCAAGCAACTGGCAGGTGGGTTATTGGATGATACATATCCCCCAGAAGACCCTTCGGTGAGTTAGAAAGTGTGGCCGTGCGACGTGCCAATCATTTTGATGTCTAGAAGCCGGGCGTAGCTTTGGTCCCTTGAGCACTTTTTTCAGCTATATGAAGCGACTTTGTTCTGATTTGAAACCGCCCCGCAGGAAGCTTTTCAGTGACACTACCGGAAATTTCCGTCGATTCCTCCGGAACCGTGTCCATACATGACGACACCAAAATAGATTTGAAATATGTGGCTGGTGATGCTTCGACAGTTGATCCTAAAGAGGTAAGCGTTCTTATTAACTTGTTTACTTTGTGATTATCCTAAGGCAGCGTTCAGACTTCGCGATTACGCGCGTCGACGCGCAACGATGCGCTAAGCTAGTGTGTGGGGCGGTGAAAGAGGGCAGTTTTCTCCGCATTCGTTACTAACAAAACCCACTTTGCGCTTTCTTGCAGTTCGTGCTCGGCTCACATTAAAGCACTGATGATGTGCGACACCGTGTCACGAGCTATGAACGATGTGTACAGACCTTCTGCAACAAAATATAATTATAAAAAAAATTTGTAAAATTAGGTGTGGACTTTCTAGGTCGGCCACAACATCTACATTCTCGCTCATCAGCTGTCCAGACATAGCCCAGAATTAGCTCAATGTCTCGATCCAGACGACGACACGAAATCCCCGCAGACAAAGAATGCGCTCGAGTTCTACAAGAAGCATACCGCTCAGATCGAGGTTTGTGCCTTTATATGAGCCGGCTTTTTGAGTAGCTTGCAGAATAGACGCAAGCCCAACTCGCAATCGGATATCCTGCGTAGAGGTTGGAGGCTGCATGAAAACTCTTCAAAATCGAGTGCTCTGAAAGGCATCACCTCTGGAAAAGCCAAGACGGTGCCGCATGGCACGAATCATAGAAATTCAATGAAGTTTTCAAATTTTCAGATTGTTCGCCAAGATCGGACATTGGAACGAGTCGTATTTCCAATACATGAGATTTGCTCGTTTCTCACAAAGGAAACGAAACAAAATGTCTACAATAACACGGAGCGGGATAATCAGGTATGTATAGTCCATATCCTGGAGGTGAGGAGAGAGATGGAGGAGCGTGTCAAGACCACTGCTCTTCCCAGCGATAGAGTGGGCGTGGCTGTGCGCTTTACTTGAAGATGGCGTAGTATGCGTTGTTCGTGGGATATCATTCGATAAAAGTGTTTTCCTTATCTGTAATAGACAAAGTCATGGTTGCAACTTCGTAAAACTGCAGTATCCTTTCAGAGGCGCAGCTGCAACCACGTTCAGTTGAAGTACGCAGCTACGGACTCCCCATCTCTGGGATACGGAGTGTAGTTGTAAGCTTCGCAGCGACGATACACAGCTGCTGGTTACTTAGGAACGCAGACGTGCGCGTGCATGCACTGCGTACATCCCGGAGAAAATGGGGGGGGGGGG